GGCACGAACTGGGACTAACAGGTTGGTCCTCGTTGCGGTCAGAGTTTAATCCCGGTTGGTGGCACGAACCGGGACTAAGGAGATTTTTTTCTGTTCATAGAATTTATATGGATTTTTTCTGTTCTAATTTTGTTCATAAAATTTTAATGATTTTTTTGTTCATAGTATTTTCTTTGTCAATTTATTGTGTATGTATAGGAAATTTAGTTAGAAAAATAATAGAACTATAGTTAAACCAGTTTATTTTTAGTAAGTAGTACTTAATAAAAATAGTTTATTTTTAATAAGTACTACTTTAGATTTTTATAGTAAGTGCTTAGTAGTTGAACTAGTTGATTTAATTAATAAAACTACTTTATTTAACTATATATAGAAGTAGTTACCGCATCGACGTCGACGATGCCTATCCCGCATACTTGTCGTCGTCGACTCGGTGGTGGTAGAGGCCTGCTTGATCAGGGCCATGTTCGGGACTGGGCTCCGCCGGACTGGTATTGGGAGGTGCTACCTTCTGGGGGTCGTAGGTTGGTGAGGAGGCAGCCCGTTGTTGACCCGATCCTTGTTTGGTTGCGGTCGCGTGGGCCAGTGACGGTGCCGAGGCTTCCGGACATCGCGGAGGTGGTACGTCACCGTGTCAGCGAGGAGGACGAGCACGTCTGTCGTTACATGGTTGCGTTGGAGGGCAGGTTCGACAATACCTGGCAGGTTCTTTAGGGATCTCACTGGAGTTATGATCCTGTGATCGTTCCTTATCTTTGGGTGTCCACCGCCCGCGACGATACCCGTCGGGCGCTATGGTTCTAGCTGTATTAATTAGCAATGCTATATGTATGATAGTATTCGAGGAGTATTCGACGATGTACGAACACAAGAGATGATGTACTTTTGGGTATAATTGAATGCATGCTAATTTGAATACTACTTTATTTTACGATCTGGTTTTGCTTATTGAATGCTCATATTGGAAAAGTACTCCTACTTTGAATGCTAAAATTGAAGAGCACTCTATGCAGAAATCTAGGAGCCCCCTCCATCATCCATGTCGTCGTGGGGGTAGCTTCTCCTTCATTCCCGTGTGCTAAACAATTTGTTGCAATAATGCACTCGGGAATGAAAGGAGGAGCTACGTACCATCACCGATAGTCAACCCGTGATTAATAATAATGATCTAATTTAGGTTTTTAGTACATATATTTAATATTTGAATTATGAACTTAGGCCGAAAATGTCGTACTCGGACGACGAAAACCGCCCGGGGGAGTGGGACTGGTGCCACGACGACCGAGGTATGTGCGACAGGTTCATTGAGCTGGACGAAGATCGGCGCTTCAGCATTAAGCTCGAGGAGACCATCGATGTTCATACGGTACACAATGACGACAATAGTTTTTTTTCGTAATTAAGCACGACAACTATTTTAATGTGTATTTTTTTATCTTTTCCAATTCGTCTAGTTTATCCCATGCTATGCAAGACGCTATGTCTTGGAGATGATGAGTTTTGAAGACCATGAAAGTATGGAAACCAAAAAAATTCTTCTAAGGACCCATCATGGTGTGGATTTTCAAGTAAAGTTGTACAATGCTGAGAGTGTAACCCATTTTGGTTGCAAAAATTGGGAAGCACTTTGCAAGATGTATGGTTTTGATGAGGGTATGCTTCTCACCATGGATCTTGGTGATCCTACAATCCACCAAGACAATATGGGCATTTGGGTCCTTGTGGATACACCTCCAATTCTTACCCCATGTGAGCTTAACATAGTTATTAAGTAATTTATATTGTTTATTTCAAAATAGTTGACAGCTTGTTTCCATTGACAGCTTATTTTCATTCTTCAAAGAATGTGCGGAAAATGGTAGACAAAACCCACTACACCGATGGCTCCGAATTAACTTATAAGGAGAAAAATCATCTGATCGCATTTTGTACTGATCTTGAGAATTACAATGTCTACGATCGAACTCCTCAATATTATGGTCAATACGTGCTACTAGTGCACGTGTTGAACTACGATAACTATTATGGAGATACCTTGGTAAGATTTTTTACTATTACGACATCCTTGCATGTTTTTTTAAATACTTTTAAAACTAGTACATCATTGCTAACTACGAAGTTATTACTATGTTTTTCAACAGATAATCCCGAATGATTGTGTGCCTCATCTGATGTATACGCACGATCGCCTTGATGTTTTGAACATACAACCAGGTCGTCCTACGAATCTCAGTTGTCCATACCGGATTTCTAAAAGAAGTGGAGACATGACAATCAAAGAATGGAAAAAATGTATGGACAGTCGTAAGGAGCTTCTTCCAAGCAAAAGGAGGCGAAGCGCAAGAATTGGAGACAGGATGATCTCCATTCTTCATAATGGAGACTCGGGGTCTATATTGTTTTATGCTATTTTACCTTAAGGGTGTTTAGGTCATACCTGATACTGATGATCATGTGGTAAGAACAATTATATATGTAGGGTTGGGTTCGATGACTATGAGGTTGATGATCGTATGACTTGTTATTAATAACGAGTAGAAGTTGTATGATGATGCATGATTAGTAGGACTTATTATTATATATGATGATGTATGATGCAAGCATGCATGAGTTATTATATATCAGCGGGTGAAATGAACATAGCAGTATAAGAGAGGACACTTCTCTCTATTAGCTAGCTAATAACAACCTAAAATTAACCCCCAAAACCCCTAAACCAGCCACTTTTTTTTTTAAAAAGAAAAACCTCAGCTGCTGACACGTGGAAGCCTTTTGGCCCCGGTTAAAGTCACCAACCGGGACCAAAGGCCCCCTTGCCTGGGCTGCTCGCAGTGGCCACGTGGAGGACCTTTAGTCCCGGTTCGTGTTAGAACCGGGACTAAACGGTGGAGGCGTTAGTCACGACCCTTTAGTCCCGGTTCAAGAACCGGGACTAAAGGCCCTTACGAACCGGGACTGATGCCCCCTTTTCTACTAGTGTATTTTCGTTGAGAAGTACTTTTCTTTCCCTTCATCCCTTCAATTTCCGCCTACGAGCCTGTTGATTCACCTCCCCTTCGCTTGTCGCTCCGGGGGGCCAGTCGTGAGGAGGGAAATCCTGGTGCCTCGACTGCGGCTATTAGATTGTAGTGTTTTAGTCATTGTGGGGGTGGTGCTCGGACGGATGGGGACACTTCTTCGAGTTAGTCTTCCGGGCTTCGATCTTTCTCAAGTTCATTCACCAATACGGATTAGATGGAAGTACGATGTAGATTTCTTCAGATCGATTTAAGGATTCAACGGCGATGACTGCGGCTCCGGGGCGCTGGTCCTTAGGACCATCGACAACGTTAGGGCGGCTTCATTACGCGAGCGGTGACAACAACATGTCGTCTGCTTGTTTTGACGATGCCAGTGGTCGTTCGGTGATCCATGGACCTCAATGCAATTTTTATTATGTTTGAGGTGGTCTCTACTCCTTGTGAATCTTTATAATATATCCAATCATTTTCTCAAAAAAGTGATTTATAGACCAATTTTTATCATGTTGGGGGTGCTTTTTTGTAAACTTTTATAGTATATATCTAGACCTTGTTCGAAAAAAGAGAGACAAAGTGGGAGTGTGTGGACTTCTCAACACGAAAAAAATAATTAAGATTTGAGATTGTATTCATATTCCTATAGAATGAAGGGCATATGAATGGATAAATAGTTTTTTCCTCTTTGTCCTCCTGCTTCTCTCAAAAGACAAAGAAAATCGTCTTGGATTTCCAAATAAGTGTCGTTGCCGTCGCCGATTCGCCTCGCCTTCGGGTGCCTGAAGTCGCCGACGAGACGAGGGTAACCTCGATTTTTGGCCGTGGTAGCTGTATAACAACGGTGCCCTCAGTCTGATTCCGAGATCTAGAGGTTGCACGGCATGACGTCGACGAGTGCAGGAGGAAGATGACATCGACATCCAGTTTTGTGTTTTATATTTTGCTTGTATAAGGATGGTCTTGTAAAGGTTTAACAATTTTTTGCCTATGACCTTGATCTTCTAAAAAAAAGAGGCATACAATGGATGCCATAGAAATTTGATGACCCAATCCTACAATCTACAAAGTTTTATTTTGTAAAAGAAAAAGTAGGAATTTTTTTTTTGAACACAAAAGTAGGGATTGTAATCTTCCATCCCTCATACAAGTTTCTTTCAATCCGAAGAGAGCAGGCTCGACCGATGCTCGCCGTATTCGTGTCAGAGACTCGATTACAAACTCTAGGATAACAAAATCGCAATTTAGACTGAAATTTATGTTTTCGAACGTCTTACACTGCTTAGCATGGCACAAAAGTCGTGTGCATTTCACGGCCGATAAGGTGAAGCCGCATCGGGCGGTAAAAACAACACTCATTCTTTAGGTAGGTAGGTAGGTCGGGACGCGCCGCACGAATCTCGGAGCAAGCAGAGCCGCGGATCCGCGACGCGCTGGCCACGGCACCGATAAAATGGCAGAGGAGCCGGGGAAAAGCCACCGGGTAGCGCCTGTCCGCCCGGTTCCAAAGCCAAGAACAGAGCGCTCCACCACCACCGAGGCAGAGGCAGAGAGAGAGAGGCCACGAGGAGGAGGAGATAAAGGGGAAGTCATGGAGGCGATTTGCTGTGGAGATTCGTGTGCGTGATCTGGTCGGATCCCGCTTTCCCGGGAAGAGGCCGTGGCGGTGGTGCCGGTGATGCGGTGGGTGCTGCCATGGTGTGAATCAATGATGTCCTCCGCCCCCGCCTATATCCTCCCCGTAGCCCCCCCTCCCTGCCCCGAGATGCCGCATTAGCCACCAACGCACTCCCCCGTCTCCCCCTCCAATCTTCACCAATCCAAGCCTCCCTCCGGCGGCGGCGACGGCGGAGAGATCGGCGAGATTTCCCTCTTCCTCCCACTCTGTCTCTGTCTGAGCTCGAGGAGAGGGAGAGAGATTGAGAGGGCCTCCGTGCGGATTGGCTCGGTTCCTCTGGTTCTTGCTCCCAGCCCGGCCCGCGCGCCATGACGGTGGTCGACGCCGAGACCCGGTTCCACGTCCTGGCGGTGGACGACAGCGTCATCGACCGGAAGCTCATCGAGATGCTGCTCAGGACCTCCTCCTACCAAGGTGCGTCCACGCCCATCCAGATTGCTCTTTCCCCCTCTTTCGTTCGTCCCCAAATCTCACGGACGGACTCTGTTCTTGGGGGCCGGCGCGTGCAGTCACCACGGTGGACTCCGGGAGCAAGGCGCTGGAGGTCCTGGGACTTAGAGACGAGGGGGACGACTCCTCCTCCTCCTCCTCACCCCCTTCCTCCTCCGCCCCTGACCACCACCAGGTACTACCACCAGCAAGAAATCAGTTGACTCTGTTCTTTCCTCTGTGCTTGAGCTGTTCTTTCAAGAAATTTTAATGGAATGAGATCTGAACAACCCATGTGCTCCTCTGAACCTGTTGTCGCAGGAGGTGGGCGTGAATTTGATCATCACTGACTACTGCATGCCTGGCATGACAGGATACGATCTGCTGAGGAGGGTCAAGGTAAAAGAATTCGCAGACCCGCCTTCAATCTCGCCATTCTTTCATTCGTTCATTCATTGGTCTCAAAAAGTTGCTGTGTTAATTCGCAGGGGTCATCTTCATTGAAGGACATTCCAGTGGTGATCATGTCGTCTGAGAATGTGCCTGCCAGGATCAGCAGGTCAGTCAGCACAATAACCTCCCTCCCTCCCTCCATGAATGCTCTGCCCTGCCCCTACTTTTCACCAGCCACCATGGCTGATCTAGTACTGGTAGTAGGTCATGAGATCGGCGTGTTGCAGTAAATGGGACTGATTTGGTTTTCACTGTTCGGGTGCCTGCCTGCCTGCCTGCATCCGGTTTTGTTTTAACAGTGCAGTACATGGTCCTTTTATGTACTGTGTGATGAGATGAGGGGGAAGGGGCTGTGGTGGGGAGCAGAAGGAATATCTTGCCATCATAGAGCAGCAGCTCTTGCTTAAAGGAGTAGTTGAATGGCCAGTGGATATCAATTAATATGTGCAAGGAGGCCTCTTCAGACTTTGGGATTGGTTTTTTAAACAGCATCAAAGATTTGCAACTTTTCCTTCCTTCCACCCTCAATTTGCAACTTTGGGAGTAGGAGTGAAAAGGCTAGCCACCAGCTCATCCATCCATTCATTCATCCAGAAATAGGCTGTCTAGCAGTTTGGCACTGCTACTAGCTCTAAAACTTGCAAAGAAAAAATTATAAAACACTAGTTCAACTATTTTTCTTCTTCTTCTGGAAGAAGACATTTTCTAGAAAGAATGATTCAAGCCACAGAAAATGTGTTTTTCAACGCTCTCGTTTCCCGCAATACCTAATACGTAAAAGTTTCTGCAAACCTCCAAATAGTCGCTGAAATAACGTGGCGATAGAATCCAAGCACGAAAGATTTGGCCCCTCGGATGTGAACAATAGCATTTGGCGATACGATATGACAAGTGGAGGAAAAAGCGGAGGAATTCGCCCCCGCAACAGTCGCGTTGATGTTGTCGCAACGGCAAGGCAACGGGGGGCCATGAATGCCGGGTGTTTTCATGCGTAGATTGCATATCCTGGCGACAACGACCCAAAGCATTTTAGGAGAAAATGTGTTGCTGTCATCATCAGTGCCTGCCTTGTGGTGGTGGTGGTGGTGGTGGGTGGTCAAGATCTCACACAATCTTTTCATGCTCGACCCCAAAGATTTGTTGTGAAAAAGAAATGTGCCGTTTGTTTTTTTTCTGAATTTTTCTGTGGCCTTCCACTTGGCTGCTGCTGCTGCTAGTGGTC